AATGCGTTTTAACTAGTTGAAACTAGTTTATACTGAATGTCTTTGATAAAACCCGTTTTGTCTAGTCAAAACTAGTTTTAACTCAAATTCATTTTTGACTAACAGTAAATTCTAGTTTTAACTAGACAAAATGGGTTTTATCAAAGACATCCAGTATAAACTAGTTTTAACTAGTTAAAACGCATTCTAACTAAAAATGGGTTTTGACTGCAACATATATATACTATGCTTTTAATTTTCACCAGCATATGAATATTTTATGGAATTAGACTAAAATTTTTTTTTAAATATGAAAGATGTTATGCGATATGCTTCTTGTCTAGTCTTGATTGGTTGATTAGTCTTCATTGATGGTGTAATAAGTCTAGTGAAAAAGAAAAGCCGTCTTAGAGCTCGTATATTTGTATGAAAGATGTTATTTATTTATATTCAAATGATATTTACAAAATGTAAATGATGAGAAAATAGAAAGATAGTTTACTCTGCTCATTATAATTTTTTGATAGAACAGTCACTTTGTAATGTTATTTATGAAATATCTTCTAGTTCAAAAGGAACAATCTAGGAAGAAAGAAAGTAAATATAGTAGTATAATATAATAAGAATTAAAGTTGCTCCTCAATATGATTTTTTCACTATACAACATAAACTGTGTATTATTAGCTGTAGTACCAAAATGGAAACATCTTGTTAGTAGTTAGAATAATGCTTATTGTAATCACTGTGAGACTAAACTAAATTGGTAACATCAAATGGAATAAAATTATGATTATAATTACTGGAAATTCAGATTTTGTTTATGCTGANGAGGCAAAACCATTAAATATTCTAAAATTATAAATTTCAGTTATATAAAAAATATATTATGAAGAATGTTCATGTCTCAGCAGATATTCAGTACATATGGTACAGTACATTGCTGTTTGTAAAAGTATATGAAGCCTTTTTTTCTTTGACTTAAAATAATTGAAAACAAGTTAAACACAACATAAAACAACAGTAAAACAAGAAAAGTATTAAGGAATTGGACAGTTTAGAAATTTCCTTAATTTTTTAATTTTTTATTATTTATGAGTGATGCTTTAAAATATCTTTGCAAACTGGAATAAATTGTTCAGCAGGCTGATTCTGATCCACGAGTTATATTTGATACTGCTAGTCTAAATTATAGATTTATTTTTATGATTAAAAACATTATAATATATGAAAAACAAAATGTTGATGTTTTCATAAAAATAAGATATTCTTTTATAGAATCTTGAATTAATCAATTTTGTCCTAATAAATAGATATTTAAACAAAAAACTAATCCTTAGTGATTTATTATATATTCATTAAGAACAGTATAAATGATTTTTTTTTTTTATAAACTTTTAGAACTTTCAATGCTTAAATAATTTTAATATGCAACCTATAAATTTGTGTTATTTTGTTTAGCTCATCCTAGTTGTATGGACTACAGTCCAGAGTTAGCCGAACGTTCTCGAATGTTTCCATGGCAGTGTATTGATTGTAAAACATGCAGTATATGTGAAGATCCAGGAAATGCAGTTAGCAGATTTTATATATTTCCAAGTTTATTATTAATAAAGTTGGGAAGTTGAAGTGCTCCTCTTTTCATTATTTGCACAGAGCATCGTTTTCAAAGTATCACAAAAGATGGTTCTTTATTAACTTTACAATTATTTAGAGAGGCATATTAGTTTCCTTTTTTTACCACTGAGCACTTTTTGATACTTTTTTCCCTCTTTCTTATGTATTTTTCTACTTATATTTATAAATATGTTACTAATAAAAAATTATTAAATTTTTAATTAATATTTTGGTATTTAATTACCTTCTTAAAAAATTAATTAATTTAACAGCCCAATGCTAACAAACTTTGAAACTGAAATTGTCAAAAAATTTCAGCCCTATTTTATCATATTGTAAATATATTTTGTATTTTTTTATATACTGTATTGGTCTGATTATTAGTCAATAATTTTTTCTAGATATTTTTAAATGTTGAATTAATAAAATTTGTAGGATTTTTAATTATTAGAAACAGAATAATACAGTAAACAGGATTTTCTTTATAGAAACCTGTAATATTTCATGAACAAAAATCTAGATATTCAAAATATAATTCCTGAATCTCTTCAGTCACAAAATCTGGAAATTTTAGTGAAAACCAAATATGCTGCTCTCACATCCTTTGATATAGAGAGAGCCTTTTCATAGTATAAATATTTACTTTCCTTGAACTATCGCCAACTGACAATGGAGAATGTAGAACAACTATGTTTACAAACAGAAAAGCATTTGTACAGTACTTGCAGACTATGAAGCAAATTCTGAAAGTGACTAACTGATTCAAATTTTCTATCATTTTCTCAAGTATATGTTCTATTTATACTTATATATGTAATAAAATAATGGTTTTACTTTTATGCATTTGAGGATCACTTTTTTAGCATTTTCTTTACAAAAATTCATCATTTTTAGCCTTTTTTTTTTTTAAAAAAAAAGAAAATTGTACCTCAACTTCCCAAGTATAATTATTAATTCCCAAGTATTATTATTTTATTAATTCCCAAGTATTATTATTAATTATAATTTGTTTAATTCTGTCTGTATCAATTAAATATTTATTAATATTATAAGTATATATACAAATGAACAAATTATTTAACACATCTTTTATAAATTGGAAGTCATTACTAATATTAAGAAAAATCCTTAATATCAGTAATGAATATGTTTTTAAAGATTTAAGATATATTAAATACTTATTGATTCATTTAAAGCATTGTTAAGTAGTTTTAAATTAGTTTGTTATATAAAATGTTTAACTGATTCTTGAATCTACTGTTTGTAGCAAGTAAAAATATTACAACATTTTTGGAAATTTTCAAATATTTATAGTTACAAAATTTAATTTTTATACTAGATTTTAATTTTAAAGATTTTTTGTTAAATTAAATTTTATATAATATTAAATGAACACAATATTTTGAAAATAATTTAAAATCTGTGATTTGTAAAATATATTGTATCTGTTAAACAAATTCTGTTTTATAAAGGATTCCATGCTGTTTTGTGATGCTTGTGATAGAGGTTTTCATATGGGATGTCATTCTCCTGCAATTAGTGAAAAACCAAATGGTAGAGTAATTTAAAAAGAAATTCTGTTTTTATATTTACATTGTTAATACTGTATATAAAATGTTGAATTGCTTAGGTAAGTGGATGTGTGCCTATTGTGCAAGGGAAAATGGTTGTGTAGAATATATGGAAAATGGTATAGCTAAGATTAAATATGAAATCACAAAAAAACTCCAGTCATCTATCAAAATAGGTAAATTATTTTTAAATTTAAAATATAAAATTTTTTTTTAAATTTGTAATTGAGTTTTTTTATTACTAGTGAATGGTATAAATGATTTGCCTAGTTCAAAAGAATCTACTGTTTCTGTTACTCTTAAAAAGGAAGAAAAATCAATAATAAATGGCAGGTAAAGTAATTTTACTTTAAATATAATATTTACTGTAAATTTTTACCATAAATTCAAAATTTAAGTAAACATTAATTAAGAATATGTTATTTTTATAGAATTAAAGACAATTTCAAGACTGTTCAAGATACTAAAAATTGGTCAATTGATGATGTCGTAAAATATTTTGTAAATGCAGGATTTCCAGAAGAATCAGCTGCCTTCAAGGAACAAGTAAGACTTTAATTTAAATTTTTCATTTATTTAGTTTTAAAAATTTTAATCCATTTGGTTATGAAAATTAAATTGTTATTTTAAATAGGAAATTGACGGAAAATCACTTTTACTACTAAAAAGGAACGATGTTCTTACTGGGCTTTCACTTAAATTAGGACCAGCATTGAAAATTTATAACCACGTAAGAAAACTACAAACAGGAAGGTTTAATGGACAAACGTAATATGAAATGAAGTATCAAAGTTGTACAGTTTGCAGGAATTAAAAACATTCGAAAACAATGAAAGAATATCCTGTAATGATTTTAATTTTCAAAAATCTAATTCATGTGTCTTGTATTGATTTTAAATATTTCAAAGAAAAACAATTTATAATTTTTATTGTACATAAGAAAATAATTGTTTCACTAAGAAGATATTTTCACAAAAATACATTATTCTATAACTATCATTGTAAAGTTTAGCACTTTATGAGCATTTTGTAGAAATTTGTCAATAAATTATATTCAGTATAATGTTCTGTTTAATTTATTTAAAAGTTTGAAGAATTTTTGGTTTTTATTTTTGTTTTACTATTTTAAGTATCCTTATAAATAATGTTTATATGTAAAAAAAAAAATACATTTAAATATATTCTGTTCCAAAAAAATTCATGCACCTTAAAGCCAGCATGCATTATTAATCAAATTCTGCATTTGAAATGGTAGTGAAAAAATAAAAACTTCATTTTCATTTCATCTAAACCAACTAACATCACAATACATCATTAAAGAACACTTTTATCCAAAATGTTGCAAATTAGAAAATGGGCAAACTAGTCTAACAATTAATGCAAACTGACCAATGCCAGAGATGGCTTTACAAGTTAAATATACACCATTTGTGATGAAACTGTTATTCTTTAATGATTTATCCTTATTCTGTAATGTTATAAGGAATTAATTAATTTATTATTTTTTCCTATCATTCTTCATGCACAATTTGATTAATATTGCATGCTGACTTTAAGGTATGTCAATTTTTTTTTTGCAACCAGTACATATCATTTTGATTTTATTATGAAAAAACTGAAACACCATTAAAAGCAAAGTATAGTTCTCAACAAACATTTAATCTTTAAACATAATTTGAAAACTTTACCTAATTTATTTTTTATTGGATTAAAATGTAAGTATATTTTTTTATTTCACATTGTTACAAAAAATGAAAATAATACTTCAGTTTTCTAAAAATGAATTTTGATTTTTTAATATTTATTTGGTTTAATAATAATTTATTTTTATTAAACATTTAGTTTAGATAAAGTTATAGCTTAAAATTGCTGAATAATTATTTATTTATCTCTGAATAATTAAATATAAATACTATATGTACAAATAATATATAAATTTACTCTTTTTATTATATTTTTAGGTCCTGTTTATTTTGATTTAATTTAAAATTTGTCCTGAGTATTGTACTACCCTCTTTCATAAAGGTTTGACCACATAACAAGAGTTATTATTTAATCTTTTGATTAGTATATGGTGATGTTTGCACAGCAAAGTTGATTCAATTGATCAGACATGTTATTTACAAGTTGTAAACAACAATCAGTTGTTTTTTCCATTTTTGTTTTAATACTGTATGCAATACTTTTGTTGTAAGCTATTGTTTTCAAACTGCTTTCTTCAGTATTCCCCAAAGACTTTTGATGGGTGGCATTGTCTGGGCTATTTGCCAGCCTTGGAAGTGTTGGTATGTGATGAAGTAAACAAAAAACTAATAGCAAAAGATTTTCTTCCAGAATCTTGATATATTCTGTAGAATTAACAGTTCCATCAACAATGTCAGAGCACCAATGCCTTTTGCATTCATATATTGATACCACTTCATACACCACATATACCTCAATAGAACAATAACTCAATAGAAATTTAAGCAAGATTGAGGCAGTTGGATGAAAGGCTTCATTTTTTTTACAATACTTTGTCATTGTTGTGTCCAGTTCTCACATTCTTTAGCCCAGACAAGTCTTGTTTTCTTCTCTTTAATGGTAAACTAAAGATTTGTCTTTTGTCTCTGTGCTCCATAATAATCTCTTGAGCCTGTATGTTGCACTTGATACATCTTTCTTGATGGTGCTTGTCCAGTCTGACATTATTTCTGGCAACATCAGATTGTTTATTACATGTTGACTGCCTTTGATTAGCCTTCATAATATGGAGCAGTACTTCATTTTCATGTCTACTTGTTGTTTGAGGTTCTGAAAATTTGCCATTTGAAGCATTGTTCACTCTTGGAACTTTTTAACTAGGCACCCAAGCTGAAGGGGGAAGCTATCATCTGAGTAGATTCTCCTTCTTTATGTAATTTAATAATTATTTCATGTATGTCTTTTGATAAAGCTTTCCATATACCACTTTTATATCATATCATGATGACATTCTTCATTCATGTCTTCCAAGTTAATATACAAATAAATTTATATACGAAACTTTTTTAACATTGAACAGTTTCATTAATAAAACTGTTTATTATTTGTTTAAACTAAAAATGAAAGATAAGATTAGATACAATTTTTACATATTTACTGCTGTGTGACTGAAATATTTTGAAACAACAAATATGGCCAAAGTTTCTTGAAACAAGTATTTATTTTTTATTATTTTATTTCACAATTCAAATAACACATAGACATTCCCTATTATTTTTTATAGTAAAAACATCTTTGTGTTTGAATAATGTATATCCCTAAGTGTAAATAAAACATATTCTATTGAATACTGTTCATGAAAGTTAAATGACAGTTTCTTGGACATGAGTGAACCTTTATGAAAACAAGTTGTAGTTTATTATTTTTATATGGGCAACTGAATGAAAAAATTCCAAATTTTGTACTGTTTTATCACATCCTTTATTGTTTTTAAATTATAAAAGGACCAGACGTTTAGTAATAATAATGCTTGATGAGTTGGTCCAAACTTTTAAATATAGATAAGATTTTTTAATACCTTTAAATAATGCGTTATAATTTAATTAAGTATTCATAGAATTACATTGAACATTTTTATGATAACCAACTTTTATGTGACACTACTGCAGCAAAATTTAGTTATCATTGAAAGAGACAGGCTGACACTTTACTGCTTAAACAACTTGTTTTGATGATAAAAGTAGGCTGGAAGCTGCCAAATGGCCTAGACTCTAGGCCATCTGGCAGTTAATACAAGCTAATGCCTGAAGTGTTTAGGGCCTAGACCAGTGATTCTTAACCACTGTGCCACGTCACTTTAGTGTGCTGGGAATACTTGTACATAAGCAATGTCAAACCAGTAGTTCAATCGGTTCTACCTTCGTAGGGAACGTTTGGAAGTTGTAACTGGTGTTACCAGTAACTTCCGCTACCAATAACTGCCGCTAGTTTAGAAAAGGAGTTTAGAAAATGTTTAAAAATCACTGTTATGACGTCACCGGTTGTCCTGCGGTATTTATCGAAGTAAACATGGATGCCGCCAAATTTTTAAATTATTAAAAGTGTACCATGACAAAAAAAAGGTTGCCTAGACAGTTAAGGGTTAGCCTGCCACTGGAGAATTCCAGGAATTTTTCATGGGCATTTACTCCTGGATAGCCAACCAGTGGCTAAGTGGATAAAACCACTGAACATTGATAATGGGTTTTGGGTTTGCAGATTGGCCATGTGGAGTTTTCCAGGTTTTCTTCACACAATTAACATGAAAATAGTAGCCAGATCTGACAGAGTTTTTCCCCCTCTTTCAAACCTTGTAAACACCAAAAGAGCCTTCTTTTCGTACCATCTGCAAGTCAGCCAGGCCTCAATGAGGTAGTCACATGTTGAAAGACAAGGCTAGATATATTATGGACAGACCATCCTTAGAATTTTTCATGGAGTTCCTTGCCCTGATTTGATCTATATTCCCAGAACACTAGGCCAATGCCTTACTGCCTCAGCCATCCAGCAATCTTTATTAATATTAAATTATTAATACAAATATCAAAAGAACAAAAACTTTTACCAATATTGTACTTAAATTGAATTTTATATTAATTTTAATTTTTTTTATTAAAATTATTCTTCATGAGCAGACTATAATGCCATTGGGAAACCAGAGGACTTTATATCTTTTTAAATGACTTTTCAAAGAAACAATAGTTAATACCACTACTTACAAGTTAGATAAATAATCTATTACTTTGAATTTTTTTTATTAAAACAATTGAGCTTATTCTATTATTAAACACATTTTTCAGTTTTATCCAATATCAGGATACTAGAAATTCAGTTAACTGATATCTTTAAATGGAATAAAATAAATAAGACTCAAATCTTTATTTTTTCATATTTTTGTAAATATAATTTGAATATATTTTAAAATTTACACAACACACTCTTGTTATGTAAACCTTATTGCACAAATCTTGGGGGTTTTATCAAACATATACACTTTTTCTTTATAATTTGGCTTTATAATACAGCTTTTATCTGATTTTGAAATAGCTTCAACTTTTTATATATATATTTAAACAATATGGTATGTAATAATATAGTTTGCTTGATATAATGTCAAATACAGCATTCATCAGTACAAAATACTCATCATACATTTATTTAAGCTACAGAACAAAATAACTATCCACGAAAAAACCTTTTTTACGAGGGTTATTTTCACTATTAAGTTCCACTAGTACTTTCGACCTCCACCGAGGTCTGCTTCAGGTGGTGACTGTCGACCCGATCGTTGACCCGACCCGACCCGACAGTCACCACCTGAAGCAGACCTCGGTGGAGGTCGAAAGTACTAGTGGAACTTAATAGTGAAAATAACCCTCGTAAAAAAGGTTTTTTCGTGGATAGTTATTATTCAACGAGGAGTTAATTGGTTGGAAGTAGTTATCTTACAGAACAAAATTTAATCATTTGCTAATGTTTCACAAAAATGAAGAAAAACAATTTTAGGATATAAAATATTTATTCACAGATAGGATAGACTTGAAGACTGATTGGATAACCCATTTCAGATTGAAGGCCAGATGACTGAGCAGTTAATGTGCCACCCTTCCATTCAATGAACTTGGGAACAAATCCAGACCAATCAAAAAATCCTGGGAATTTTTTGGTGAGATTTGTCCTGAATATATCAAGCCTATTGCCCCATTGTAGGCAATGATGGGCTTGATAAAAAAAATCCCTCTTAGTACCCACGTGGTGTAAAGAGTAAAAATAAAACACAAACATCATATCAAATAAATTTAATTATTAAAAAGTCTGGAAGTTATATAAGCAGAATAGAATTAAATTTTTATTATTTATGTAGATTCATAATTTATTGGCTATTTTATTATCATCTTATTTACTACATTATTTCTCATAAATTACATTCTAATGTTATGGAAGCATTTTAGAAGATACCATTAGGTATCTGCATGTGGAGCTAATAGTTTCGTGGGTATCTGAACTTTTTGTATCAATTAGCACATATAATATATTATTTTTGAATTACCATTGGTATTATCTAAGGGCGCGTTTGGAAATTGTAACCGGTGTTACCGGTAACACACCGGTAACACCGGTTACAATTTCCAAACGCGCCCTAAGTTACGTAATGGAGACGCGTTTTAATTATTTCATTTCAATAACTAGTCAGCCAATTATAACACAAAACGTTATTTTTACTTAATTTTCCATTAATTCAGCAGATTTTTCTGTTATTTACACATGAAATTTGATTATTTGATATACGTAAAAGTTATTTTTAATTAAAGCAGCTTGCTTAAGTACCGAAAAAATATGATTGTTTTAATTATTTAATGCATTTCTACATTTATTACTTTTAAATTTGATTTATAAAAATATTTTTAAAACTTTATGTGAATCGAATTTAATAATAATAAAAAAAGTAGGCGCTACGACGAATTATTGCCGCCTTTTGCCGATTGGTTCGTGTTCGGGAATAATTGTATTATATACGAATCAATGAAGTGCCGCGATAATTTGAATCAGTGTAAATTTTGGACTCTTTTTTTTTTTTTTTAAGGCTTCGAGCAGACCGCTTTATATCGAATCAACGTTAATTAATCGAGGAAGCGCTAAACGAGGTCTCACTGTACTTTGAATGTTGATATATATAGATTGACTCTTTCCATCCCGCCAGCAATAACTAGGCTCTTTTAATCGAGTTCGTCATAAATTCGGCCAGGACCACACAATGGGGCGACCGCGTGATGAGGGACGGGCCGACATATCTGAGACGGACCACACCCGAAAAATTCCTGGGTCTTCCTACTCGTCCGGATTCGTTTTCGGTCCCCCAGGATGATAAGCTGACACTTTAACCGCTTGGCCATCCGACCACATATTGTATATTAATTAAAATATCATAGAATACATTATAGAATCGTATAGATGCGGAACTGAAGTGTTGCCTCTGGTTTAGGTTACTCCATGATATTTAAAGGAAGACGTATTCCTCCATTTTGACTTTATTAAAAATGTCTTCCCTCTATTCAAACACACCCGTAATGTCCTCCTTTTCAGAACAATTTACTTATTGACCAATTTGTATCAGTATTATAGCTAAAATTACCGATATTTGCGTAAATCCAACAACAAAAAACTACATTAAACTCAAATACAGTATTTAAATTATAATAACGCTAATGCATATATTCATATAGGCGTTCGCGTTATTAGGCAATATATATATAAAATCAATGTAGCATTTATGATATTATTTTCTAAAATTTTATTATTATTATTATTAATTATTATTATAGTCACTGTAACAGTATAATAAAACAAGTCTATAAATTAATTCTTGATTTTCAGACTATACACGATACGAATTATAATTAATTTCTAGGAAATACTATTTTTATTGTTTATTTAAAAGTCGTAAGATCGGAAATTGTAATAATAAAATAATTAAATTTTTAATAAGTTTTAAGAAGTGTAAATATAGAAAATTAATTAAAATTTAAAAAAATAATAATAATTATTATAATATTCTTTATTTCTAATTGGTCAATTTTGTTTATTTTTAAAATAAAAATGACGTAGTTTTAAGGAACTGGCGGGAAAGTATTGCATGTTGGGATATTCGGTCGTGGCATTATTAAAAACCTGTCTTGCTGGAGGCCTCATTTGCTAGACGCTGGTGAATGTAACAAGCGTGACTTCGCCATTCAATAATTAGAAATAAATGTCTGCATCTACCTCGTCAAAGGATCTGCAGCGAGAAATCTGTAATAAAAGTATGGTAAGACGGAAAAATAATACATAATAATTTCATTATGCGGCTTTTAGTTCGGTAATGTAGAAAATAATATAACAAAAAAAAAATTGTACTAATTTTTTCTTTTTCTTTATAAATTCTATTTTAAATATCTACTAAATACATTGATTTATATAGGCTACTGTATAAAGTAATAACACTACGTGTATTGTACTTATATAATGTGTTGTGTGTATGTATGTATATATACAATATATACATTTTTTTTCTTTAATTTTTCATTCTAGATCAACTTTCTATCTAGGTTTCCGCGTAATTAATGAATAATAATTGTTTCTCTAGAATTACTCTGCATATTGGATCTTTGGTTGTTAAAGATATAATACAGGAATCTAATAATGTAAATATTTTCAATGTCCACATATTAACTATATTAACAAAATTAACCAACCAAATAAACATATTAACTGATGTAAGTATTTTCAATGTTCAATTGAAAAAAACATATGTTATGTGTTTTTCAATTGAAAATTCAAGTGATTTGTATTAATTTTATCCATTTTAATTCAGAATATCAATAGAAAAAAATAGCACAACAACAAAAGAAGGAGATAGATGTAATTGTATTTCCTTATTTAAAATATCTTAACAGGAACAAGTGAAGACAGACTTTTTTTAAAAATAATTTCATAGCAATATGTTATGATAGTTTACTATTTGCTGAAAACTAATTCTTTATCATTTGGTTATTGCAGAAATGTTAAATAATTATTTAAATGAATTATTAATGATAAATTAGTGAAATATTGAATGGTTTTTAATTTTATAAATTGTTACATTTGTTTGAAAATAAGTTATACAATACAAATAAAAATCAGAACAATGCTTAAAATTTGTGTAAATTATTTGAATTAATTTTCAATTTATTTAAAAATTACATTTATCCAGCAATATAACTGCAATCTTCATTTTAGAGAATTGTAGTTTCTGACAGATCACTGGTCTTAAGTGGACTTAGCTGGCATATATAAAGTTTTGCTTGCAAAAGTCTTCCTCTTGCTTATATTTGGGACACTGTTCTTTAAAATCTTTTGTATATTAACATGAGAGATTTTAATGTAAGAACTACAACTAAGATTTTAAATAGGTAAAAATCTCCAAATTTGGCTGTCCGTTATTTGGCAACCAACATTTCTGAAATATTTTCTTTCCAGATAATGGTCATCCGGGAACACCAAAACTGCTGTTTGTACTTTGCCTGTTAATATGACCTGGAAAAAAGTTCATCCAATAGTTATAATCTCCTAAACATGCTTTGATTATTCATTTTCAAATCTTTAGACAAAGTGACACTATTCTATACAAATAGTCTGTTAGGGAAAGTATTCTAATACAAACTCTAGCAGTGTAAAAGATTTTAATCTTTTACACTGCTACTGATCCAATGTCTAGACCAGTGGTTCTCAATCTTTCTGAGGCCATGGAACACCATTCATATATTTTTTATTACATGGGGCATTAGCATTAATATATTCAAAAACTGATAAGCAATTCAATGTTAGTAAACATGGAATTGCTAGACATAAATTGGACAGTTGAAAAAGATATTCTGGACAGACCTCCATGAAAAAATTCCAAGGAGTTCCTTGTCCTGTTTTGATCTATATCCCTAGAGTACTAGGCCAATGTCTTACTACTTCGGCCATCCAGAAATCTTCATTAATATTAAATTATCATAAATTATTATTTATAGGAATAAATTTGCAATAGAAACTTTAAAATCCTTTTTTCATGGAACACTCAAGGCAGGTTTGTGGAATATTGGTTAAGAACCATATGGACTAAATATGTTCTTGAACATTGTGTGGATCTAGCCTTATGATCTTGATACAATTTGTTCTGTGATTACAGGGCTTTGTATTTGAGTGATCTTGCCATATCAAACTCTCTAAATTGCAAAAATACTTGCATAGAAAGACTGAATGGACTCTGAATAAGTTTCTTGAAAATAGTTTGAACAATTGCCTTAATTAAATCCAATTTATAATCATTAAGCATACATTTTTGGAAAATGTTCCTGAGTCAACATCATGAATGATTGGCAGGCTGCACTGAACAAGACATCTATCAGCACACTTAAGATAAGTTGAAGACTTAAGACAATATGAACTAAATGCATCAGTGCATGTATGGATCATTTAGTAAAAACTTTCAGTTCACAGCCTTTAAAATACAAAAAAAGTTGCTTCCATTGCCAGCACTAAGTGTACTGTATTTAGACTCTACTTTCAATCAGTACACCGATATTACTGCTCCTATTTATTACTAATTTCATTATGAAGATTATGAATTTTCTTTACTTTTGGAAATAGAATTATCTTAGACAATTAAATGGTACAAATGTTATATATAATAATGTATAAAATTTTTTTCAGAATAACAATGATAGTTGCTTTTCTGATATTCTGAAAGTGCACACTAATTGTTTGTTAATTCTTTGTTGTATGATGTCATTTTCTGTGCGCTTAAAAGAATTAATACCGGTACCCAAGTTTATTTACTGAACTCTATTTTAGTAAGAGGTATCATATTAAATTTCTTATTAATGTAGCAAACTGCAATGTTGCACTCTAATTTTCTTATATTTGGAAACTTTAACATGGCTCATATACATCATCTATTGAATTTTACCAGTATTTTACTCTGACTACTTTTACATAAAATAATAACTTATTTTTTGCAATCAATATTTTATTACTTGGGAAATTATTGTGACCAGAAACTGGGACAGAATTATTGGGATGGAATCTGTAATGTATTAGTTGTGAATATAAATAGTTTTGTGGTTTTTCTTGATTTCTGGGTGAGTTTGCTTATATTTTTTAGGATTAGATTGATGGAATAAGGCAATGCGGCATGCGGGCAATCTCCAAGAAAGTGCCTCCTGTGAGGGCTTTCTTTAGGACTGGAGACCTATTCTGAGTTCTTCCGATAACTCAACGAAAGTGATACATGGGGCATTCAATAAGTTTCCTTAGTGATAGGCAGTTAGCAAATCTTAGACAAATTACTATTTTCTGTTTGACATTAAGTAGGTTTTGCTACAGGTAATCAGTTGAGTTGTGTCTGGGTTCCATGCTAGCAATATCTGTTATGCTTTAACCTAGACAATCACCATTGTCTTTTTGTCACGTGACTGCAACCTGCCGTTTTCCAAGCGAAGCATGTGTTTTTAGTATTGTGAGAACTGGGAATTTGGGGAACATGTTAAAGTTTAAAAAGAAGTTAGTTTAAAAAATATTTTATTCACTTGAGAAAAAGGATGAAATTTTATCAATGTTTAACATCTCTAAGTTGGAGTTCCTTCTAAACTGAAAGTTTAGTAGGGAATGAACGAATTGGGAACATATCCCATTGGTCCACAAATTTGTTATAAAAGGGTGGAGTTTATTTTTTACTTGCTTTTAGTCATAGTCCAACATGTTACTAGCTACTGAGAATAGTTACGTCCTCTGAGTATGTTCCTACCTTATATTCTTCAATGCTTTTTTTTTTTTTTAATCCATTAAAGAAGAACGAAGCAAGATGTTGCTTCCGAGATAAAGGTTCTCTCACTACCTCCCCAGGTAACTATAATCAGTGTAAGCTCTCTTGTTAGGAATAGTTTGATTTAAAAATTGTTCATTGATGCATATATTTTGTTCCTTATTGGAGACTTATAAAGCCATTATATCTGTTGTTTACGTGTAGATGGGATATATAGAAATGTATTCATTTTTTATTATTGTATTTTTGTCGTATATTATATAATTATTTCCTTTATTCAGCCTACTTCCATTTCTGCATCAACATCCCCTCCTAACTACTCGGATTTGCCACTCTATTTTATCACTTAGATTTACCACTCTGATCAAGTTATTATTACTTCTTTTATTGTGAGTTAGAATGTGAAGTAAAATAATTATTCTAACTGGTGTCAGGATATGACTATAGGTGAGTGAATGGTAAGATTCACTTGGCCTTTTAATTTTATTTACTTATAAACCATCCTGTGTAGTGAGCTGGGATCTCAAAACCCCTGGATATCATATTGGGTGTAAGGAGTTTGGGTCTTTTTTCCATTTCCTCACCATGAGTTCTCACATTTTATAGCCATCCTAGATAAGTGAGCAGAGTCTCACGACTCCAATCTCGCAGTATTGTTATGCACCAGTGTTAACCAAATTTTTTTTTGTGTTAAAATGTCATCAAAGAAGGGAATACAACTTATCAGTTTAAGATATTAGTCAAAACACTTCGGCTCTACTTTTCTTGTAATTTGTTGCATAAATGTAATAGTAATATGCTTTAAAAAACTTTGTCTTCTGAATCAATATCATTAAGCTGAAAAGTATTATCTCAAAGACAAAACTGATTTGCAATGTCAAATGCTAATTTTTTTTCTCTCTCCAACTGATGAAGTTATATCATGTTTGTACCTAAAGCTACCAGGTTCTTTTTACTTTTGTTAGGTTCCTAAAGGCCCCATGGAATGATCGATAAGAAAAGCTTAGTTATTGCACCATGGCTATTGGAACTGAAAATGAAACTGATGTCACAGAATAACATTTTCACAATTGATTAAATGCCAATGAAGTGGTTCCGATAGAAACTGGTTTTTATTGTGTTCGTTAGCTTAACGATACAATTCAGAATAGGCCCACTGGACCAGATTTAGACACGAGATCATCTGGAAAAGTTTGTAGCCAGCCCATTGGCCAAGTGTTAATTCGTGAACCTAGTGTTCAGTAGTTTTATCTACTTGCTTAATTTTAATTTTTTATTCAGCATTAATAGTTAACAATTGTTTCCCAAGCATTGTTGTAATGGAATTAATGTTTAATTTTAAAATAGCCACTAATTTTTTTGAGTGATCAAAAAAAATGAGTTGTTTTACATTGAAGAACACATGTGCTTCCAAAACAAACCAATGTAAATAGTGCTGAGAAATCACTTTGAGAACTTTTATGAATTTTTTTATATAAACTTTAACACATCAAATTTTTTTGGTATGTCTATGAATTAATAAAATATTTCCTACATGGGCATTAAAAGTAAGTTGTGAAGTTTATATGAATATATTATCATGAAAAGATAGTGTAATTAAAGTTGACTGCTGTATATAATAGAAAGCAAGAGAAGTGAATGTTATGTTATTGCTTATTAAAAAAAACCTTTTTGATAAAAAAAATTAATAAAAAGTAAGGGTCAAGGCCAAAATCCTAAATCAAATATGCATTACAGAAATGTGTAGTCTATTAGATTAAAGAAGCATTAGACACCATTTTATTTATATATAACATATGAATCATTATAACATTAAATATCAATTTACACTGTATTAGTGTGCCCATATATAACAAATATGAAGGAAACTGAATAAAACTTCATTACAGTGATGCTTTTTTGTAATAATTATGCATTTATTTCTGATTTCCTCGGACATTGCGGTCAAAACACCCTACTGGTTGCAGGGTGCTTGACCACAGAGGTTTTGTCCAGACTCAGACATTGTCTCTTCTCAAGAAGACAAAAAATAAACTTAATTTTGAGCAAGGTGATCACATCTGCCTCCTTTGATTTATTGTTTGAAGTTGATCAATACAACTGTTGGGATTAGAGTTTTTCACAGGGATATGGTCTTGATAGGAATGGTCAGACTTCAAAACAATGTTCTTCTAATCAGCTGATTAGACCTCCATCCGACTGGATTACCAGAGAAGAATGATTTAATTTTTAGTTGGAAGACTTAAATTCCTTTCTCAGAAGAATTTGTGATGATCAAGTTTAACTGATAAGATTGGCTGTCCCTTGTCCTTTAATCTATTTTCTTCACAACTGCATATCAATGAGTGCAAATATTTGTTATATCCAATATACTATTACATAATACTTTGCAACATCCAAACATTTTAACAAAGGTTTAATACAGGAGATTTACAGGGATGAAGAAAGCTTCATATTGACTGATAATTTGTAATAGCCAATCTCTATATATGTGTGCTCAACTGTGTATAATGTCACATTATAACATATTAGTTTTAGATCTTAAAAACTAATAATATAGATCTGTTTAAAAAATTATGATCAGTTGTAAAGTATCCTATGTTTAGTTAATGATTAATTTTCTAAACTAGAAACAAATTTTGTTAAAAAATTTAATTTATTTACTATGAACCTCTGATATTTGAACAAAATATATTGATTTTAGTTGTAGTGGAAATAACTGGTGGTAATATCTTCTTAATATTTGAAGATTTATTTTGAAGAATAACTATTAACAATAAATCACTAACGACAAATATTCTGTAAATTTAAAAAATTGATATATATGAATATAAAGTGATATATATATATAATTCATTCCATAGTATAATAATCATTTTAAAGTTACTTTAGGATGAGTTTTTTAATAATAAAATCATTTGTACAGAGGGTATTTACCTTTGACTCAAGTGATGGGTACTAAATGCCTACTTTTTGTATGTGAATTACCTGCAGTTGCTCTGTATGTTCTCTACATCTTTGATTAACAGTACATAGTCTTGTTTTTCATGTCTGAAAAACTTGTTTGCACTTATCAGGAAAATCCACTCCATATGTGCTTTATGGCTTTCTACTCACAATTCCTTGGACTGGAGTGGAAGTATAGTTCAAAAGGTGATAATTTATTGGAGATTTATTTATGGCTTTCTGTAGAACTTCCATAGTGTGGGCTTTATTCAGAAACAGTTACTATTTTAGGTAGCCAAACCCAAAAAAGTCCAAGGGGCTTGTGTCAAGGGACTTTACTATAATTTATTTTGTTGATAATAAATGTAATCTTGAATTTCTTTCTCATGAGCATATTGGAAAAAATGTTGTATGGGAGGTGGTTTTATTGTGATAGTAAAACACTGTTTAGCTCACCAGGATACAGTTGGAACAGACCTCAACAATTGGTTCAGAATGCTTTCAATCTAAACCTCTGCATTGATCTTGGCATTTGATAAAACTCTGAAGAGAGGAAGTGGTCCATATCTGGTCAAATCTCCAAGCACCAAAATGATTTTTTTTTTAAATTTTCCTTGTTCTCAATCCATTTACTCATAACATTCTCTCCTTTTTTAACAACAGATTTTTTGTCTCCATTGGTGTAACTAGGATAGATCCAGCCTTCATCAAACTGTGACCACATATTTGCTCCTCCACCCAGTGAGGTGGTTCTCATAGAGCTTTCTTGTGCTTTGTGATCAGTTTCCAGCTAATTTTGGAGCAACATTAGGTTTTCTTTGTTTACTAAGGTTTTGACTTTTGTGATGACCTTGATATGAACTGGACAGAGCTACATGTCTCACTAGGCCTATGTTGTTGATGACCAGGACTCTAAGTCTTGAAACCATGTTCTGATTTTTTAGTGCTTTCTCCCTGCTCTGGACAAATATCCTTCTTTGGAAAGGCCAGTGGTCTGACACACTAACTCTAAATTTGTATCTCAAATTTACAGCCAAGTTTTAAAATTAAAGTTTTACAGAAAGCCATAAAGCACTTATGAAGTGGAATTTCCTGATAAGTATAAATAGGTTTTCCAGGCATGATAAACAAGACTATGTACTGTTAGAAAAGACAGAGAACAATCAAAATGTCTAAATTTTACCTTTTTAAAAGCTTATATTCACTATCTTGAAAGTGCAGTTATCAGGACCTCTTTCATTTTTGTAATAGAGACATCAAATGAAACAGTAGTATAAATATAGCTGATGATGATAGGGATTAACTTCTATTCATCAGAGGTGTACAGACTTAATACTGTAATAAATATATCAACTATCAAAGGCAACTATGGTAAAAATATATTGGTGAAAATGGTGACACTTTTGTTGTGTATTGTTAATTAGTAAAACACTCCAAAAATACCTTAAAAATTGCATTAATCTTTAATGTTTTTGGCCATATTTAACTGATCATCTTCATGACTTACAAAACAAATGATGGTTTTATTAGAGATTAAAGTAAATTTTTAAGGTATTTTTGGAATGTTTTACTATTCAGCATTGCATTTCTCAGTAGTTATGTATTATTGATTTTACTTTGTTACCTATACTTTATAGTTACATTGATTAATTGTTCTAATATTTAGATTTTAAATATATGTAAAATTTCAAATGAAACAATACTAATTTTGACTTAAATTAAAAATTTCATATTTTTAGGGAGAAGTAGATCTGATGACATTACTCAAAAATTTCTATGATTTTCAAGAAGAACGTGTATTTACCTATCGTTTATTTGACGAGTAAGTGAAATTATTCTGTTACATTATTGATTAAATACAACCAAATACAGTGGAATACTGTCTCGAGGGATCAGTCTAAAACAGTGTTTCTCAACCTCTAACAAATCATCGCACCCTTCAATAAAACCGTTACGTAGTATCGCCCCCTTCACTACAAAATTCTGATTCCTAGGGACAAGGCTAACGCTAAATTTGTACTGCATTGAATAGACTAGTGATTAGTATAATGTTATTTGTTTAATTATTGTAAGATATAACGAATAAAATATCTAAGTATTCTTAATATAATGTTTTACTATATTGCCCAGAAAATTGTTTTTTGCCTCCCCAAAATATAAATTGTTACTAATCGCCCCTTCAACATGGAAAAAAGCCCACATGGGTGCAATATCGCCCTCCGTTGAGAAACACTGGTCTAAAAAGACGTGTAATCAAAATGTAAGTCAAGATGAAGCAAAAGATGGCAAAACAAAACTTTTTATGAAAAACTCATATTACAGCATTAATTTGTTTGTTTTAATGTTTATTTTAAACTCTTTTTGTTGTTATACTACAAATATGTAGACTTCCCTTATATTGTGATTGCTTCATGCCATTAGCCAGTAATTTACTGCTAATCCTCCTCTCTAAGAGAGAATGCACCTATTAGGTTTAATTTTATGTCATTTAATTTGGGAATGTGAAGAGAATGGTACAAGAATAATATCTAGAATGTGTTCTAGAAATTCTGATTGTGTCTTTTACATATAATATTGGATAACTGTTATCTTTGTCACAAAGGAAACAACCCATAAATGAAACTCCATAATCAACTTAGATGCATATATGATGAACTACAGTATGTCACCTATTGAAAGGAGTAGAGATGATTTGAGGTCAATGTATAAATGTGAAACATTTAAATGGTGTCCACTATATTTAGTTTGGCTTGAATGCTAGTTCAGTATTCATTTATTTGGCTATTGAATAATTCATGTTTTATATATATATAAATATGCCCAAAATACTTTGAGAGTTTAGAAATTAAGATAAAAAATTTTTCAAAATTATTTTTAAATAGAATAAATTATTAAATAAAATATTTAATTAATGACTATTAAACTGTAATTAATAACGTACTAAAATGTTATTTGAGTATTCATTTGAGTAGATTCTTGATTTTATAAATACACCTATGTACAATCTGCAGACCAGTTATATCTGTTCTGCAGTGGCTGTTGAAAACATGACACCTTTTAAACTGTATCTAAATCATCTCAAACATTCCATTCTGCACATTTCTTCTGTTTTATTTGCTTTAGCAGTTCATTATAAATGTAATTATAAATTAGGTCTAAGAGAAATGGAATATTTGATATGTAATTGCTAAAGTGCAATAGGTATGAAAAACACAACAGGACCACTAAATGACACAATTTTTTTTATTGTTTTGTTTCCTTTCTGTATTGTTTATCAAATAATATAATAAATGCTAAATAAACCTTGAAAAAATTTAATGACACGAGTTTGAGAGTCAAGTTTTAGTTCCTATTTGCTGTAAAAAATTAATATAGAAACTGTCAATTTTATTGTATACAAATAATTTCTTTGAGAGTTGTTATACAGAGAGGACAATTATCACAAACTTATCAGCTTTCAAGATAAAGTTTTAAATGGGAATGTTTAGTTATATCAATAAAAATGTAAATTGACATCTAGAAAAAATAAAGGGGGAGAGAACAAAAGATGAAGCATATTTATACATGTCTGTGGTGCTTAGAATTTTTTTTCTTGATTTCTAAAAATAATCTTGATAGGTTTAGACAAAGGAAAACCTGTTTGAATTAATAATTGTAAGTTAAAATTGGCAGATAATCTGCATCACTGCATAACCTGCACATACATTCAAATTGACTTAACTACAGACAATAAATACTGTAATTACTGCAAATAACCCACGAGTTTTGTAGTTAATTACAGTAACATTTGTTTATATTATGTAAATATTTAATGTTATTTCCTTTTATAGTATTTTTATTTTGATGAAATAAATATGTAATAATTTATTTTATGAAAAATGCTTCAAAATGTTTTTTTTCTTGCATCTATGTAGAGGACATAAGATATATTTGGGTACTGCACCACATTATGATTTTATTCGTTTCCGTCATCTCGTTCACGAAGTTACTCAAGAATTCAAACGAATTTCTGAAGGTATTATTGCAATTGAACATAGATTGAGAACTGAATTTGACTGTCCCCATTTGGCGGATTTTTTGGCAAATCTTCAAGAAGACGAAAAACTGAAATTGGAATTGGTAATTATTATATATAAAATTTGTATTTTAAAATTATATCAAATGTATACTTATTTAAAAACTTTCCATAACATAGNATTAAATTAACGAATTATAAAATCTAATTTTAACGACTTAAGTGTCTTTTGAAGTTAGATCTATAATTAATTGATTCGTCTAACGACTTTTAAGGAGTTCGAATATTTAATTTAAAATTTCATTAATTAAAGGACTCGTTTTAAAAATATTTAGTTAGTTTTAATTTTTGAAAGTTAACAACTTAAATCTATTAATAATGTTAATTTATTGTTCGAGATCAAGATATCGAGATAATTTCTCTGCATGAGGAAAAATTCCTTAAGTCGTGTGGTTAATTGAAAAACGAAGAAAAGGAATATGTAGGACATTATTCAAGAGAGAAATCAGAAACTGATTACTCCCTAATTCAATCCTTAAAAAGATGTTTTCAATAGATCTAATAAGTAAAAAAAGAAATTTACTTATTTCCTAAGGATTTGCTGGAATTCATTCTTTATGCAGTTGGATGTAAACATAGAAAGTAGGCCATATAAGTGTAGTTCTTTTCTTCTGTTTGATATAGGTGTAAAGGTCATTCACCAGCTTAATACTTATTTATTTTATTTTTTTTAAAGAATATTTTAAATCTGTTGTTGACATTATTTTAAAAGCTTTTTCCGTAACTGTATACATGTTTAAATTTGATTTTAAAACTAGGACACAAACCGATTAGTATTTTATTTTTCTTTTCTATATCATTAATGGAATTTTGTGTATTTTAATATATTAAAAATGATTATGTTTAACTTTAGGAAAATATATCTGGATTATCATAGGAGGATGTTTGTCAGCAGCGATTGGGATTATCCTTTTAATAGTTCTTATCTTATATTTGAGGAAACGTACTTTTAAAACACAGTCTAATGAATCTGACACGGAAGCAGATTTGAAAAAGAAAAGGTATTTTAATTTTCAGCTCAAATGAGATATATATATATTTTTAAATTATTATTTAAAAATATATGAATAAAATTGCTATTTTTAAATATAAAATATGATATTTAAATGATTGTTTCGTCTTAATAATTGTTTTCAAATTGCTATCGTCTACTGTAGATATTCTAATTTTATGGTTTAAATTTAATCTACACAAATCAATATCTCTAAGACGAAACATGCTTTAAACAGCAGGAAACCATTTAAAGTGATAAAGGAATGGACTATGTTATACGTATTAAAATAGGATTTTACCACCTGTAGGAATTAATTTAATGTCTTGTGTTGGCGAAATAGCTGACCTTTAATAAAGTATCTTTCAGCAAGAGATGATTTTACCAGGAAGAGCATGTTATAGAACGGTTACTATGGCATTTCCTAGACAGAAGCGTAGGTGGACAAGAACGATCCAGTAGCCTTGAATGATGGAGTTCACGTCTACGCAAATAAAAAGAAACAGGATACATCACATCACTATTTTAATATTTAATAAGAAACGTTTAATTTGATATAATCTTTTCTAAATAAATTAAACAGTCTAAATTGTTGATTTTTTTTTTGTTTTTNATGAATCTGATACGGAAGCAGATTTGAAAAAGAAAAGGTATTTTAATTTTCAGCTCAAATGAGATATATATTTTTTTAAAAAAATTATTATTTAAAAATATATGAATAAAATCGCTATTTTTAAATATAAAATATGATATTTAAATGATTGTTTCGTCTTAATAATTGTTTTCAAATTGCTATCGTCTACTGTAGATATTCTAATTTTATGGTTTAAATTTAATCTACACAAATCAATATCTCTAAGACGAAACATGCTTTAAACAGCAGGAAACCATTTAAAGTGATAAAGGAATGGACTATGTTATACGTATTAAAATAGGATTTTACCACCTGTAGGAATTAATTTAATGTCTTGTGTTGGCGAAATAGCTGACCTTTAATAAAGTATCTTTCAGCAAGAGATGATTTTACCAGGAAGAGCATGTTATAGAACGGTTACTATGGCATTTCCTAGACAGAAGCGTAGGTGGACAAGAACGATCCAGTAGCCTTGAATGATGGAGTTCACGTCTACGCAAATAAAAAGAAACAGGATACATCACATCACTATTTTAATATTTAATAAGAAACGTTTAAATTTATATAAAATTATCAAATATTTTGAGAGAGAATCATTTCATCATTTTTTTTTTGTCTTTTCACTTAATCAGTAAATTTTAGTAATAATGTATATTGGGTGTTTAGAAAATCCTTGCCCATTGGATCTTCCAGTTAGTGATACATGCCATTTTTCCATGAATGTGGATTAGTTAAGGAGGTCCATATCTATGGCTTTGCTAATTTCCTGATTTAACACCATTAGATTTTTTTTTATTAGGGCTACATAGAGGACAGGGTTTATTGAAAAGGAGTTGAAAATGTTGCAGATTTATGACATGTAAATTGACACTTCTACATAGATAATGGCTGATCAGCTTAGGATGGTTGAGGAAGGTTTTGAGTTGACTTGTGTACTGTCAGGTAGTATGGGGTGTCATTTAGAACACCTTGTGAAATTGAAAATATTGACAAGGACATTTTACCTTTTATCTTGGATTTTACAAGAAAAATGAAAAAAAAAAAAAAAAATTNACGATCCAGTAGCCTTGAATGATGGAGTTCACGTCTACGCAAATAAAAAGAAACAGGATACATCACATCACTATTTTAATATTTAATAAGAAACGTTTAATTTGATATAATCTTTTCTAAATAAATTAAACAGTCTAAATTGTTGATTTTTTTTTTGTTTTTTCTTTAATAATATTTAATATTTCCGTCTTATTTTTCTACAGATTATCTTCGGCTTACAGTTCATCAGGTGATGATGCTGATCAATCCTTGTCTTATCAGATTTTAGCTAGATCATTCTCTACAGAGGCAGCCATACCTTATAAAATGAATTCCGAATGTGTGCAGCCTTGTCATCCTACATTAACTCGTTGGCATTCGTTCAATTCTACAACCTATCCTCCAACATTTTTAGGAACTGTTCAGCCGGATTTGTACAGGTATGCTGTCAGGATGGCATTTATCAATTATATTAGCGTTCTGTATAAAATATATTTTTAAAATACCTTCTAAAAACAGAGAATCTGACGATGAAGATACAACTATACCAACTGGAATGAATGGCAGACTTTGGTTTAGTCTCTATTATAGATCTGATGCTCAAGAGTTAGATGTAAATCTAGTTAAAGCCAAGCATTTGTCTGGTAAGTTAAATAGGATGTATTTTTCTATAAAAGCAATATTTGGTGTAGAATATAGTCTCAAGGATTTTTCAATATCAGACAGAATCTGTTTTATTTATTATTTTTATATTGCAAAATTTTGTTTTATATTAACAGCTGTTATTTGCTCGCGTGATACAAATGTGATGTGTGTCAATTAGGTTTATAAATTCAAATGTGTTAATATCAGAATTTCTGTAAATAAAAATGTTTTATTAAAACTATTAAAGTAATTTTAGAATTCTTTTAATAAATATTATTATTAATTTAAATAATTTTTTCTGTTTACAATTTTTATTTTTCTAAAAAAAATATGAAATAGAAGAAATAAAGTATTTCTTCACATATTGCATGAAAATTAATTAAAATTAAAAAAAATTAAATCAAATAACTATCAAAAAGTTTAATTTGAATAATTAAAAAATTATATATTTTTTAAAGTTTTAAAAAATAAGATTTTTATAAATTGAAAATAAATCAAAATTTTAAAAACTACATTAATTTTAACATTTTATTATTATTCTAAAATTCAATTAATTTTAATTTGAATGAAATAAATTAATAATTTAATTTTCTTTTTAATATTTTTACTTAGAATTTATTTAACAATACTTACAACAGATGGAAGCACTTTACGAAAATGAATTTCTTTCTGTGTTATAGGCAGGGGTTTGAATAACACTTCACGCGACCCTTATGTGAGAATTTATTTATTACCCGACGAAGAAAATTATTTACAATCGAAAGTACGAAAAAGAACTTTAAGTCCAAAATTTAACGAAAAATTTACCTTTAAGGTGAGAAAATAATTAAATTATTTAATATTCTATTTTTAATTAACGTTTTTTAAATCTTGACAGCCGCATATGTTATGCAATTTACGTTTCAGGTGGAAGAAAGTGATTTATGTAATCGAACGTTACGTTTTTCAATCTATGACGTAGATAAAAGGAAAGTACGACACACTTTGGGTCACGTGATGATTCCATTGGATAAAGTTGATTTGAGTAGCAACATGCTAATTTGGAGGGATTTAGAGAGTTCTGCTTTACAGGTTCATACAGAAAAAAATAAAATAAAATAATTATTACTATTTATATAAAAATTTATTTTCTTTTCGTTCAGTTTTTATTTTGATTATTTATTTAATTTATTTATTTTTTTCAGACACCGACAATCAGGGGAGAAATACAGATAACTTTATCGTGTAATCCAATAAATGGTAGAATAAAAACAACCGTATGTAGAGTGAGAAATATTCAAGGAATCGATAGTGGAGAAGCAGGCAAGAAAAATATTAAAATTAATAAAACACACTCATACACAAGTTTGTTTTTAGCAGAAGCAAATATTTTCTTTGTTATTGCAAAGTCATGTAGAAATTCCTTTTTGTGTAAAATTACTGAAACGAGAAAATTTAGTTAATTAAACGAAAAAAAAAAAAAAAAGTTAATGGAATGAGAAAAGCGATAGAGGTTTGAAGGAATTCTTATTATTATAATATGGTTTCTTAAATGACACAAATTTAAATTAACCAATCGGGTCGCAGAATCTTGTTTGAATTTAAATCTCGTCCAATCAAATTTTAAAAATCATTTGAAATTGAAAATAAAACTGAATAGATTTTAAATAAATATGAAAACTTTGTTTAAAATTTTCAATTTTTCAAAATTTAAAAGGAAAAAAAATTAAACTTGAAGGTTTATTTAGTTTTATTTACTTTTTGATGTTGACATATTTAACTAGAAATTCAAATTTATATATATATANTCAGACAGAATCTGTTTTATTTATTATTTTTATATTGCAAAATTTTGTTTTATATTAACAGCTGTTATTTGCTCGCGTGATACAAATGTGATGTGTGTCAATTAGGTTTATAAATTCAAATGTGTTAATATCAGAATTTCTGTAAATAAAAATGTTTTATTAAAACTATTAAAGTAATTTTAGAATTCTTTTAATAAATATTATTATTAATTTAAATAATTTTTTCTGTTTACAATTTTTATTTTTCTAAAAAAAATATGAAATAGAAGAAATAAAGTATTTCTTCACATATTGCATGAAAATTAATTAAAATTAAAAAAAATTAAATCAAATAACTATCAAAAAGTTTAATTTGAATAATTAAAAAATTATATATTTTTTAAAGTTTTAAAAAATAAGATTTTTATAAATTGAAAATAAATCAAAATTTTAAAAACTACATTAATTTTAACATTTTATTATTATTCTAAAATTCAATTAATTTTAATTTGAATGAAATAAATTAATAATTTAATTTTCTTTTTAATATTTTTACTTAGAATTTATTTAACAATACTTACAACAGATGGAAGCACTTTACGAAAATGAATTTCTTTCTGTGTTATAGGCAGGGGTTTGAATAACACTTCACGCGACCCTTATGTGAGAATTTATTTATTACCCGACGAAGAAAATTATTTACAATCGAAAGTACGAAAAAGAACTTTAAGTCCAAAATTTAACGAAAAATTTACCTTTAAGGTGAGAAAATAATTAAATTATTTAATATTCTATTTTTAATTAACGTTTTTTAAATCTTGACAGCCGCATATGTTATGCAATTTACGTTTCAGGTGGAAGAAAGTGATTTATGTAATCGAACGTTACGTTTTTCAATCTATGACGTAGATAAAAGGAAAGTACGACACACTTTGGGTCACGTGATGATTCCATTGGATAAAGTTGATTTGAGTAGCAACATGCTAATTTGGAGGGATTTAGAGAGTTCTGCTTTACAGGTTCATACAGAAAAAAATAAAATAAAATAATTATTACTATTTATATAAAAATTTATTTTCTTTTCGTTCAGTTTTTATTTTGATTATTTATTTAATTTATTTATTTTTTTCAGACACCGACAATCAGGGGAGAAATACAGATAACTTTATCGTGTAATCCAATAAATGGTAGAATAAAAACAACCGTATGTAGAGTGAGAAATATTCAAGGAATCGATAGTGGAGAAGCAGGCAAGAAAAATATTAAAATTAATAAAACACACTCATACACAAGTTTGTTTTTAGCAGAAGCAAATATTTTCTTTGTTATTGCAAAGTCATGTAGAAATTCCTTTTTGTGTAAAATTACTGAAACGAGAAAATTTAGTTAATTAAACGAAAAAAAAAAAAAAAAGTTAATGGAATGAGAAAAGCGATAGAGGTTTGAAGGAATTCTTATTATTATAATATGGTTTCTTAAATGACACAAATTTAAATTAACCAATCGGGTCGCAGAATCTTGTTTGAATTTAAATCTCGTCCAATCAAATTTTAAAAATCATTTGAAATTGAAAATAAAACTGAATAGATTTTAAATAAATATGAAAACTTTGTTTAAAATTTTCAATTTTTCAAAATTTAAAAGGAAAAAAAATTAAACTTGAAGGTTTATTTAGTTTTATTTACTTTTTGATGTTGACATATTTAACTAGAAATTCAAATTTATATATATATA